TTCCCACAACTTCTGGATCATGAGGGGGAAGCACACACACAAACAAATTAATATCAATTTGTTTAATAAAACACTATCTACTTACTGACAGAGACATACGGGCTTGCAAAAATGTACTCACCAGCTCCATACAAAATAACCTTCACAGTTGATCCAAAATCCTGGTTTACATACAGTATTCTTCTCCAAGGAATCCAAGGATCATGCCTTCAGGTCCTCTCTGTCAGATGAGTTTACGTGACAGCGTTCTCAGATTACTCATTTCAAAGTTCCTTCACTTTTTGAGTTTGATCTTAAAACTAGCTGACAGTATGGATGGGCGATATGACCATATTATTTCACAATATAGGATATTTTATTTCAAAATAACAGTATATCACAACACATATATTTTTGTTATTTTATTAAACATAAGATCAAAGTAGCAAATTACAAACAACAGGACTAATGCAATAGAACAACGGTAAGTTCAATACATTTTGTGATTTTCTCTTTAGTATTTTGTTGTTTGATTAAAATGATGACCGACTGCAGTTAACGTTAGGCTAAATGATACTGCTGTCACTTTAAGAACAAAATGCACAGATCCAGTATACTAACACATCACCGGGTTTCCACCTAAATGTTAATCTTGACTCCAAACAGCAAAAGATAGAAATAACTGACTTAAAACCATTTTTTTAGCTGCATTTTGGGCACCACTGTAGCTCTGATTATATAATATATATGTAGACAAACATATGTATTTTAATTCTGAATTCTAGCTATATTAGTGTTTTATCTGGGATTAAAACAAACTAAAAATATGGAAGACAAATACTGTGAACATTCCATTAAAAATAAATTAATGTTAGTATGTCTTAATGTTAGACATGAATACTCACTTCCTCTGAAGATCACGTGGTAGAAGATTTTCTTTCCCAGAACTTCTGGATCATGAGGGGGAAGCACACACACAAACAAATTAATATCAATTTGTTTAATAAAACACTATCTACTTACTGACAGAGACATGGGCTTGCAAAAATGTACTCACCAGCTTCATACAAAATCTTCACAGTTGATCCAAATTCCTGGTTTACATACAGTATTCTTCTCCAAGGAATCCAAGGATCATGCCTTCAGGTCCTCTCTGTCAGATGAGTTTACGTGACAGCGTTCTCAGATTACTCATTTCAAAGTTCCTTCACTTTTTGAGTTTGATCTTAAAACTAGCTGACAGTACGGGTGGGCGATATGACCATATTATTTCACAATATAGGACATTTTATTTCACAATAACAGTATATCCCAATACAGTTATTTTTGTTATTTTATTAAACATAAGATCAAAGTAGCAAATTACAAACAATAGGACTAATGCAATAAAACAAAGGTAAGTTAAATACATTTTGTGATTTTCTCTTTAGTATTTTGTTGTTTGATTAAAATGATGACCGACTGCAGTTAACGTTAGGCTAAATGATACTGCTGTCACTTTAAGAACAAAATGCACAGATCCAGTATACTAACACATCACCGGGTTTCCACCTAAATGTTAATCTTGACTCCAAACATTAGCAACTGTGTTTAAGTCAAGTGAATTCTGAAATGACTGTCTGTATTTGACCATTCAAGTGAGGCTATTCTTTGTGTCTATTGTTCTTCACTCATTTCATCACCATGCGTTTCCTGCTATTTATTCCTCATTCATGCACATTTCTTTATCAAAGTGTCAATAACTTTAAGTAGTACTGTGCTATGAGTTTATATATTGCGCTTCATATCATCGCCACGACATGGTCATATATCGCCCAGCCGCAGCTAACAGTATTAGCTCATACTAGCAAAACACAGTAACACAGTAGGACATTGAGATGTATAATCACGATAAGCATCTCACTTCAATGCACTGTAATGCACTTGATGTAACTATAGAACATTATATAAGGTAGGCTACTTAACGTTACTTACCTTTTGCAGTTTGCATGTCAGTTAGCTGCTGGTAGAAGTCTGTGTCCATATTCACGTTTATTTGTTCTCAATCTTCATCCCACAACCCAAACTCGCTCAAAATATGAATTAAACAGTCAAGACGTAAAATAATCCATGTAAAAGCCATTACTAGTGAACCGACCGAAGCAGACTGCAGAAGACGATCAGCAGCACACACTGCAACGGTGTATTTTCAAATTTAACCGGGAAAACGGCGCGCTCACTAGTCATTGGCCAGATTCCTGAGTGATGGTCAGATTAACCAATCACGCTCAAAGCAACACTGCAAGACAGCAAATAGCGTTGCAACTATGAAACAAATAAATAATAACTTGTTTTAAGTGAAAGATTACAAATGTGTCTATTTATTTTTATTTATAGGCTGTTATATTTAATTAATTGTTCAAATGGTGATTTCACATTATGCTAGGTACTCGCCAACAGTAGTTCTGCCAACTATACCTCCTTGGTTTTTACCACAGCCAGAGATAGATTTTAGCCTCCTTGAACTGATGAGAGATGAATATGGGGGAAATTATAAGATCTTTAATTCATACATCAGAGGAAATTATTACGGTTATTTACAGATTTATACCGATGGTTCTAAAGATCCTAAAACAGGTAGAGCAGCAGCAGCAGTAGTAATCCCTGAGTTTAATGTTGAGTGTGGAAAGAGAATTACCGATGATATATCTGTATATGCATGTGAAATGATGGCCATGATTATTGCTTTGCAATGGGTAGAGGAGGTCAGGCCAGAGAGAGTGGTAATTGCATCAGATTCATGTGCAGCATTAATGAGTTTAAAATTTTGCAACTCCAGGAGTAGAGAGGACTTATTGTATGAAATACTACAATCATTATTCAGAATTCATCAAATACATTTGTCTGTTAGGTTTGTGTGGGTCCCTGCACATGTTGGAATTGATGGGAATGAAAAGGCAGATAAAGCAGCAAAATGTGCTTTGAAGAGTGGAAATAAGCACATAAATATAAATATTAGCAAGTCAGAAGCTAAGGTGGTGATAAAGGGACAGATCAAAAAGATGTGGCAAAATCAATGGAACAAAGAAACCAAAGGGAGATATCTGTTTAAAAATATTCCATTAGTTGGAAAGATAGGAACTGGAGGACGAAATAGGAAAGAGGGGAAGGTTATAACAAGAATAAGGAATGGTCACACTGGTCTAAACAGTTCTCTATGCATGATTGGAAAGCATAATAATGGAAAGTGTGAATATTGTGGAGAGGAAGAAACAGTAGACCATGTTTTATTGCATTGCCAGAAGTATGATTCAGAGAGAGAAATTTTAAAGAATGCACTAAGAGAGAATGGAGAGCAAAATATTAGTAATATTCTTAAAAAATCTGCAGATGATAAGGGTTGGAGTCTACTTCTAGAGTATCTAGGATCAACAAGACTAATAAATAGAATTTGAGAAATATAAGTTTATTGATTTTTTGTTTAAAGGGGTTTTTTTTTTTGGGTGTTGTGTATAGTGATTTAGATCCTGAGTCCACACTCCAGATCAGTGGGTGGCGGTAATACACCCGAAAGCTGTTTGCCAACCGCCAATAAAAACAAAAGAAGAAGTATTAGCTCATGCTAACAACACACAGTAACACACACTGCTAGGACATCGCGATTAGCATCTCACTTCAACGCACGGTGTCTTCATGTAACTATAGAACATTATATACTTACCTTTTGCAGTTTGCATGTCAGTTAGCTGCTGGTAGAAGTCTGTGTCCATATTCACGTTTATTTGTTCTCAATCTTCATCCCACAACCCAAACTCGCTCAAAATATGAATTAAACAGTCAAGACGTAAAATAATCCATGTAAAAGCCATTACTAGTGAACCGACCGAAGCAGACTGCAGAAGACGATCAGCAGCACACACTGCAACGGTGTATTTTCAAATTTAACCGGGAAAACGGCGCGCTCACTAGTCATTGGCCAGATTCCTGAGTGATGGTCAGATTAACCAATCACGCTCAAAGCAACACTGCAAGACAGCAAATAGCGTTGCAACTATGAAACAAATAAATAATAACTTGTTTTAAGTGAAAGATTACAAATGTGTCTATTTATTTTTATTTATAGGCTGTTATATTTAATTAATTGTTCAAATGGTGATTTCACATTATGCTAGGGTTAGGTGCATCTGTGCTATTCACTGTTTACCACCCGTCATTTCCATCTGATTTTAGGGTAAAATTAGGTTTAGGGCCAGAGGGACTATGTTTTCAGACAGGATCAATAAGATATACTGCTTATTCAGGAACAGGTCTTACTTGGCAAAATCATGGCAGTCGTGTGTGTGTGTGTGTGTGTGTGTGTGTGTGTGTGTGCCTGGTATTTATCACACGATGGGGACCAAATGTCCCCACAAGGATAGGTCCCCATGAGGAAACAAGCTTATAAATCATAAAGAATTAAGTTTTTTGAAGATCTAAAAATGCATAAAGTTTCCTGTGAGGGGTAGGTTTAGGTGTAGGGCTGGTGTAGGGCAATAGCACATACAGTTTGTACAGTATAAAATCCATTACGCCTATGGAATGTCCCCACAATTCACAAAAACAAACGTGTGTATGATAAAAAAAATATATATACTTGTATTAATTTTATATTTTGTATTATTTTTAAACATGCTTGTAGTATTATTTTATATAATAAATAGTATATAATTTTTTATAACAATTACATAAATACTTATAAATATAAATATTTATTAAATAAATAACAATAATGCCAAAAACAATTATATAACAATATATAAAAGTGTGTGTTTTTGTTTTATGTTTAAAAAAAAGTAATAAAAATAAACATGTATTAATATATATGTTAATTACTTTTATTTTTTTTAAACAAATATAAATAATAATACATTTATATTACATTTAGTCATTTAGCAGATGCTTTTACTAAAACATCAACTAATTATATAAATATGATTTCTTTTATTGCCATTCTAAGTACTAAATTTGGAGAGGAGCTTAAAATACAATGTAAACTTTCTCACCATAGCTCCGAAACCGCCATTCTCCTTCTCTGGAAAGCCTTCGCTCATGTCGGCCAGGTTGGTCATGCTGCCGCCGTGGGTTCCGTTCAGGGTGCTGCTGTACTGCTCGATGCTCTTGCTGATCTCGTGTTGGCTGTCCTGGATCTGGGAGAGTTTACTCCGAGCCTGCAACATACACACATCAGTTTTTATTCCATTATATACTGAAACGCTTAGCACATTTTCTTTTTTCTGGCATTATTAGATCAAGCAGTTTCTGGTGGCTGCCTTCTAGTGTCATAAGCAACCCTATATGCATGAATGCATTTGAAATCTTGACATCTTTTAAGTGTTCGTCACCCCTAGTGGTTTGAATATAAAATGCTTTGAAGGCACAACCTGGTTGATCTCGTCCTGTGTGGCTCTGAGGGACTTTATGATGGTTTCTAGCTGAATCCTGCCAGCTTGTAGACTCTGCTCTAGCTGAGCTTCCTCCTGCTGCAGACGGTTCAGGTCAGCCTTGGCCCGGCCCAGCTCTTCCTCTTGGCTCTGCAGGTCCAACTCCTGCGAGTGGATCTGGGACTGTAGGGATGAGATCTGAACAGAAATAGATTGGATGTGTTTAATGTTTATTGTCACTGACAAAGTGTTGGCTGAGGATCTTGTAATCCTGTCTTCTCAAGGTTTTCACTCACCATTTGCGACTCTTCCTGGCACTTCTGCCGTACGTCATTAAGCATGTCTTCCAGCTTTGCCTTCTGCTGGTCCATTTCCTCCAGCCGTTCCTGAGCATCCTGCTTCTGCGCCTCAAGCTCCTGGAGGGT